TTTATAATAATTAAAGTTTTAATTAAATATAAAAAATATACTCGAGAAAAATATTCAATATTTTTTTTTGCCTCGTTTAAGTAACACTTGATTATTCGTTTTTTTTTTAATCTTTTCTAGTTTTTCAGTTTTAATATACAATTTTAATTACAGCAAAACGTTATTGAGTCTTAATTAGACTTCATGTGTTAATTTTTAATTTAATTGTATTTTTTTCAAATATTTTATTTTATGGCAACATTGACCATAACATTTTCAATGACCTTTAGATTATAATCATGCATTTCAAATGTTACATATTTTATTTTTAATTTGAAATATATTTTTATGTAAATTTTTTTCTATTCATAAATACATACATCCATATATCTGTATATATGTAAATTTTATTATTAAAATTTGAAAAAAATTTTGTATTTTTTATTTCATATTGATTAGAATTTGTTATTTATGTTAATTGTAATGTGAGTGTAAATTTTATGCAAAAATGATATGTATTAAATAAACATTATTCGCAAAATAATTAAACAAATATTAGAAATATTTTCAAATATTTAAACAATAATTTTTATTAATTTCCACAATGATAGAATTAAGAATTTTAAGAAAATTAAAAAAAAAACTTGGGGCCACAATCTCATTCTCCGGTTATCGTATAACCGGTAGATATTCTGACGGTTAAAATAAACATTGAGAAAGTGGGGGTTAGAGAGTTATTATAATTAATATGCCATATTGAGTCCCGTGGACCACTTTTACGAGAAAAATAAAAAACATTTTTTGTTTGAAAAGGTTTTCAATTCTCTACGTGTGATTGAAAATCTTGACCACAGAGTGTCTTTGAGTGTTTTTACAATTATTGTACCTTAGGGTGTCCCGTGGACCACTTTTATGAGAATACGAGAAAAATAAAAAACATTTTTTTTTTGAAAAGATCCACAGTTCCCTACGTGTGATTGAAAATCTTGATCTCAGTGCAATATATTCAAAAAAAAAATTCTGCAATCTTTTCAATTTGAGTGTCAAAAATTCCATAATTTTGAGCTTGTTGCGGGAAAAATAATTAAAATTGTTGGTAATGTATATCTGATCCCCAAAACGACTTTTATTGTATTTTTAAGGGCATATAAATTTCAATAAATTTGAAAAAATTCTGAAATGGACTAAACCAAATGCCAAACTATTTTTTAAATATTTTTCTTTATGAGCTAAAAATTACGACAATTTTGATAACCATTTCCATAACAAGCGAAAACAATATGTCTCTCCAACCCACTAAAAATCATTTTGTGGACCAAAAATATTCTAAAAAAATTTTAAATTTTTTTTCCCATAATCAGCAGATAATTAAGGAATTTTTGAGACTCATTTCGAAAAAATCTAAAATAGTTTATTTTTCAAAAATTATACTGAGGTCAGGATTTTCAATCGCTGAGGATCATTCCAAAAAAAAAAATATTTTTTTATTTTTCTCGTGTTCAGTACTTTAATACGAATTGATTGAGTGGTTACATGAAATTCTTAAAAAGGTTATTTCTCGAGATACTTTAATGTACCTACTCTTTGAGTATATCTTCTTATCTTATTAAGAATAATTTTTAATAAATTTTTAATTTGTTTATAGTGTTACATTTCTAAGGTTTCGAATGATTTCAATATTTGACTTTGACAGCAGCAATATTTCCATTTTCAATATGACCCTGACAGCCAATTTACTGTCACGATTTAGACATAAATAACACAAAATATCTATAAAGTTCTTTACACCACAAAACTGACATACAATAGCACCTACTAAAGTGTGACAAAAATAAAAAAACTTGTCAAACAACCCACGCTTAAAGTAGGTGAATATTGAAGTTCTTAATGCAAATCAATCGGAATTAAAACAAATAAAACCATAACAAATTGCTAATGGATAGTTAATATCATTAAAATTTTTTTAAAAGACACTGAAAGAAAAACTGTTTATTTCTTTCCAATAAAAATAACATAAAATAATCTTGCATTACTTGCAGATATTAGATAACATTTAGTTTAGTTATATATAAGTAATATTACCATATTTTATTAATTTGAAAAGGCAATAAGCAACATATTACAGTATGCTTGTAATAACAAAAAAAGAAAAGAGCAACAGCTCTTTTACAGCAACAAAATTACTTAAAAATTCAACAAAACTAACAAACTTTTACTAAATATCATTTTACATACTACCTAAAAAAAAACTAACACTCCATATTCATAAACTGCTAATAAACTTATTGAAGGTTTAATATAGGCATTTTTTAAGGAAAAGTATTTAATAAACCTTTTATAACTTTATGAATACGTTGCTAAATTTTCAAACTACTGAGTTTCACTTATTATCTTTTAGCAAAACATTTTTTTTGGGATTGTTTTTTACAAGAAAAAAAAACGCCAAGCATGAAATTGTATTAAAAATATTCATTGCAAAATATCAACTTTTTAAGATAAACTTTTATTTTAAGGCGTGTAACATAAAATTACTTATAACATTAGTTATGCTTTTAACTTTTTTTTTCAGCGCAAGCAAAAATGCACTAGTTTGTGTTTGTTTTACTTTCTTTATATCTCATTCACTCATTTGGTTTATATCTAGCTTTTTTAAGTTTTTCTTTGATGAAGTAACAAAATTTTTTTTAAGAAAAAAACTTGAAAAAAATTATTTTTAGAGACAAGTAAACAAAATTAAATTTAGTAAGCAGGTTTAAGCCGCTTTAATGGTATCATACATTGCATATTTGAAAGCTTTAGAAAAGCTTGAAATTGTTTATATGAGCGTGTTAGGGTGTAATTTGCGCCAAGATTTTTGTTTCTCAACATGTTGCTAAGAATTCAATGTTGATAAAGTAAATTTTTATTTAAAATACTTAAAGTGCTTAAAACTGTGAACATAGTTTAGTTTTCAGTTTAATTTTCACACCCATTTAAATTTTGTATATAAAACTGCTGGGAAACATTGTTGCTGGCAACATTTTTTATATAATTATTTCAAAATTTAAAATAATATAAACAAATTTTTTGTTTGTTTTAAACTTCAAAAAATTTTATTTTTTGAACAATTTTTATCAGAATCTTAAATGTTGCTAGCAACATGTTTACATTACATGTCTTAAAAGCATGTTTATGTCGAAAAGTTTATAAAATAAATTGAATTTAAAATCAATTTAATGGATTTTTTTTTAATTTTTATCTGGAATTGTAGGTAAATCAATATTTCTTTTAAGTGATTTTACTTAGAAACATGTTGCTAAGAGATTTTATTAATGTTTATAAACTACAATAATTATATGTTTAATGTTTAGAAACAAAATAAGTGAGCAAGCTCTGCACTTTGATTTATCCTCACAAAACCTTTAAACAACTTAATTTTTATTCATTTTGAAATTGTAGGGAAATATTTTAATAAATTAAAGGAAACTGATAGAAACTTCATAGTAGATTTTATAAAAAAAAAAAAAACTTTTCAAATAATTTTAAAAAGTTATTTTTTTAGTAACTATATTTTGTTAAGTATTAGAAAAGGTTTCTATGAGATTAAAATAGTTAATATCTTTACAACTAATTACATAAATAGTAATTGCAAAAAAAATAATTCCTTTAAATAACTGTTGCGATTTTAAGATAAATATATAAATAAGTATATATCTTTAACTGTTAAAACAAGTTGGTTTGGATTAATTGAAAAAAAAATCAGAATATTTAAACGTAAATGTATGTCAAACTAGAATTTAATAATTATTTATTAAAAAAATTCAATACAAATTTAATTGAAAGTTGTCACAAATGTACAGTTAGTTGTTGCAATTTTAAACAGAGATAGAGAGAGTGAGAGAGCGGTGGAATGGAATAAAATTGATTAAAATCAAGTTTTTAAAGTAGAACATTTTTAGGTTAAAATATACTACTTTCAAAATAATTTTTTTTCTAATATTGTGCATTGAAAATATATTTAAAAGTTATAAGTTGTTGAAAATATTACTTATTATTCATGCATGTCTGATTTGAGTGGAATAATGTGAATGACATTTGAAAGTTCAAACTAGTTGGATGTGAGTAGTTTGGGCTTGCCATAGTTGATAATTGAATGTAATTCTGTAATACATTTTTCACAGACCAAAATTAAATCCTATATATAATCAAAGCAAAATAAGTTAAGTATTTTTTTAATATATTATGCTTTAATATTGCATGTTGATGGAATATGATGTTGATGGAAATTTACTTTGAATTTATGAAAAATATTTTCACAAAATTATGCTTTAAAAGGATTTAATAATGTGGCAACCTAAAAAAGTAAATTTGCACTCGAGTTAGTTTATTTTCAGTTACTTTAACAAATTTATTAATTTTAAAATTATAATTTATTGTCTAAAATTTTGAGTTTATTTTTAATCCATTTATGTGTAATTAATTTCACTTTTCTTTATGATTTTAAACACATATTTTTCAGGTAAAATTAAGCAGTTTTAAACTCATAAATCTGTTTTAAACTCTTAAGCAAATCCTTTTTTTGAGTTATTAAAATAACATAATTTTAGCACATTTTGTTTCGTTTTTTATTTCACAAAGTTAATAAATTCCTTTGCAATAAAACCACCAAAGTTTATTACTAATTTCTAGAAAATTGAAATTAGTTTTTTTTTAGACTTTGAAATTCTTAGAAAAAGTCATTAAAGGTTTTCAAAACTTCACAAAAAATTTTTGTTTTTTAATTATTTTTAGAATCCTGTGAGCAAAAACATTTTATAAATTTTATTTTTAAATAATCACAGTTTTTTGTTTTCAACACTTTTTAAAGAAATTTAGGTAGTTAAAACCTTTAAGGTCATTTTGTCCATTTTTTTTATAAAATTTTCTTAAAAGTTTTTAAATCCTTTATTTCAGCAAACACTTTATTCTTGACACTTGTGTGTGGTTTAACTTTAGTTTTTTTTCTCCATATAGTGTTTTATTTTTTATATTTCAATACATACCGGCTCCAAAAAGTGCAACAAATACAACCATAAACTTCTTCATTTTGTGTGATTTTTTTAATAAAAATGTTTATATTTTTTTGTTATAATCCAAATAAAATATTATTCGTGTATTTTTTTATATATTTATTTTAACTAAAAAAAGTATTAAAGATCGCCTGAAAATTACTTGCGACAACGAAATACTTGTACCGACTGTGTGTGGTTGGCGGTCTTACATTCGCTTTTTATACCGCTGCGAATGTGCGCACGCGTGCATGAGCTGTAAAAAATGTCGCTCGCGTTGAATTGTGATTATTTTTGTGTGCTTTTTTATTTATTTTATTTTTTTTCTTCGTTACCTTTTAGTGCTGTACAACATGCTCAATGTTGTTATTGCTGTTGCTGTAAAAACAATCTTAGCTACTGCAGAAAAATAATCAAAAGAAAATAGTAATAGTAATGAAACTATAAAAAAAAGTTGAGAAGAAAAAAAAAACGCAATGAAAATTACCCTCAAATTTAAAGTTTAGTTAATGTAGTAGTCGTGGTAGAAAAACAAAAGAAATCGAAGAAAAACTAACGAACACTCCAAAATGAAAATGAACTCAGGAAAGTAAGAAATAAACTTAAAAAGACTTTTGATAAACTCAATGTGAGATTATGGTTAAAACCAACTTTTGTCAGCTTTACTCAAAAATCAAAACTTTAAACACTTACATACATACATTTGTATGTATGTTTTATTTGTATTGTAGAGCAGGGGTTCGCAAATAAATGAAAAATTAACTATATCATTGTCTTAAAATTTTATCTTTTTAACTTTTATTATAATCTCTCATGAATAGCTAGGACTATATAAGCTTTAAAATCGACAAAAGTTTTTAGTTTATAGGAACCAGAAGCTTTCCTCTAAATTTTATGAGGATCGTCCTATAATTACCTTATATAAAGCTTCCTTTAGAAAACAGCTTAAAATATCATTTACAATTGCTGAATGGGATGAAAATCGAAATAACCAAAATTTTGTAAGAACTAAATTATCCCCACCAAATTTTTTGAGACGTGGTTTATAATTGATCCTTCCTCCTTATAAGACTCCCTTCAGAAAGTGACTTCAACGATCATTACTGGCTTAAAAATGACGCCATTGCTATGAAAGTTTTATACAAATTAAAATTTCTCTACCAAGTTCTTCGAAATACGGTCTATTACTGATACTAAACTCATATAAGGTCCCCTACTGAAAATGACATTAAATATCATTACTGTCTTAAAAACATAGCTGTAAAATTTCGATTACGATTAATAACACTGTACGTGAAATTTCAACCTTCAAAAAGACACAAAATAACTCCGATGCACGTGAACTTAATTTTCGGTCGTAGAATCTAGTGACATACTCCGTTTGGAAAAGTTGGGTCAAAATCGGGAGATATTGCATTTTAAAGTTTTTTGATTATTTAAATTTAAAAAACAAAACTCTCACGCATAGAAAAGTAAATAAATACATGAAACTAGAGTCCATTTGAATTATTATGGAAATATATTTAGTTTTTCATTAGTTCGTATGTCTATGCGTGAAAAATTTTTTCAAAATTTAAAAAAAGAAAAAATTACCACATAAAATTTCATACTTTAAAATGCAATATCTCCAGATTTTGACCCAACTTTTCAAAACGGATTATGCCACTAGATTCTACGACCCAAAATTAAGTTTAGGTGTCTCGGCGTTTTTCTGTGTCTTTTTGACATACTTACAGTGTTATCAATTAAATTATTTTTCAAAAATAATCGTAATGATTATTTAATTCTCTGGTATAAAATGTCTGATTATTAATTGATTACGATTAAAATTAATCTAAAAATAATCAGGATTAATTGCAAATAATCAAAATTAATCAAATAATTAATTTGATTATTTTCAAGGATTAATTTTGATTATTTTTGTTGAAGAAAATTATATGATTGTTTTATTGAAAACAATAAAGCTTTCCATTTAAGATTCTCTTTATGGTCCATAATTGACCATGCAATAGGAACAATATCGCTAATTTACTCCGAGAGTCTGCCGAATTTCATCTCTACACGTTATGAGCGTTAAAGTTATTTTCTAAAGGAGACCTTATATGGAGGACAGGGTTAATTATGGACCGACATCATAATATTTATTAGTGTGATTTTTCTTCTATAAAACCTGTTTATGTGGAATTTCGTCACTCTACTTGTATTATTAAGCTTTAAAGAGATTTTCTGAAGGGGATCTTATATGGGAGTTAGGCTCAATTATGGTCCGATGTCCACCATATATTACAATATAATTATTGATTGCAAAAAACGATTTTCTGTATAATCAACTAATTTTTGACCATTTAAACTGTATTTCATGGGGCCACTTGTATAGGGACTAGGGGAAATCATGGATCGATATTGTTAATTTTCAATAGCAGGCAAAGCTTATCAATAGGGAATATTTATATAAAATTTTAAATGTATAGCTCCTGCCTTGTGGTCCCTATCGTGTTTCCAACATACAGATGGACGGACATGGCTATATCGTATTTAACAAGTAAGAAATTATAGTCGGGCGAGGCCGACCACATAACCCTACACCAGTTATAAAATGTGATTTAGTTTTAATAAGAAAGCATTTAAAGGGAACAGTACCTCGCCTCAAATATACTTAAGCCATTCATTGTTGAATAAAATTGTGGACATTTAAATCATATTTTGAAGGGGCTTTGTATAGGGGATAAGGTCAAATGAGACCCTATAATTATAAAATTCATGAGGGTCATCAAAGCTAGTATAGAATTTGGTTTTGCAGTTTTTTCGAGATACGTTTATATTATACATAATTATGACTTAAAAGTCCTATTCGGCGGGTTCAATTGTATGGGGCTAAATGAAATAATAGACCGATCATAACCATTTTCAATAGGCTTCGTCCCTAGGACAATAGAATATCATGTACCAAACTTCATTGAATTATCTTCAAAATTCTTTAGGACGAACATAGCTAAATCGACTCAGAAAATGATTCTAAGCCGATTTATCCGATAATAAGAACGCAGAATATAATTTAAAATCGATGTCTTCCGATTTGGATGAAATTTTCACAAAACAATAAAAAAATAGCTATCTCAACTCCTTTTGACAATTTTACTAGGACCAATAGATAAGAAGTTACACTCATTTGAATAAAATCCTGTATGACCAAAATGTCCAACTTTGATCCCCTCTAAGTCCGACAGTTCTTGACCGATAGAGCTGAATTTGTGTCTGGCATACTATCCAATAGTACTAACCTTAGTGCAAATTTCAACAAAATCGATTTTTTGAGTTGAGTCACTTGACACGAAATTTCCCATATACTTTTCTATGTATGTATTACAAACGGGATGACAATATCAATAATCCATTTAAGTTATTTTTCTCGAAACGACAATTTAGAATAATGTCAGTCTTATTGTAAATGAGCGATATTGATCTAACAAATAATTTGAGGATTTGTCCATAATTCCTGACCATATTTTTCATAGTTTTTCATCAAATATTGAGTATTAGTTATGTTAAAAAAGGACTAAACGTTTTGTTTTAAAAATGAAAACACTCTTCAAAATTCGTAAGAACTTGGCCCATTTCGTAACAATAATTTCTTAAAACTTTGCAGCATATGTATTTGAGAACCTCTGCCATACTGGCAGTATCTATAGATATTTTAGAGTTAATGTTTTTAAAGCTGGTTGACGTTTTGTTAAGTCAGTCATCGTAGTTGATGTTAAGTAGAAGTTAGTTGTGGAGTAGTAGTAATAGCAGTATTTATAGTTCTTGTTTCTTTAAATTTTTTGTTTCTTTTCTTTTGTTTTTGTAATTAAAAAAAAACAATTTATTTTTTCTTCAACTGTTTGTATTAGAGTTTAATGTATTTAACGAAAAATAAAAAAAAACTACAACAACGAAAAAATGCCAAGTTTCTGGTTGTTTCTTGTATACGAGTACATACAAAATAATTTTGTATGCAAGTTGCGCATGCGTCATAAACTTTTCAGTTAACGTTGTCTACCACTTCTACTACTATTATTCTCTGCTCTGCTTTGTCGGCTCATTTCAATACACATTCATACCCACAAACACAAATATTCAAAATAGTCATGTAGTAGAAATACAAATTAATATAAATATTGTATCTAGTATATGCATGTATTTTGTTTGCTAATATTAGCGGTATTTACTAAATTATTTATATTTTCTTATTATTTTGAGGTGGGGGTTGAAATTGATTTCTGTTTGGTGGTATTTTTTTTTTGGATATTTGTTGTATATTTTTTATTTTGATACATTGAGACAGACATTCATAACTTCATTGTGATGTTTAAAGATTTATGAGGTGATCTAGTTTAGCCACAAAAAATACTAAAAACTTAAATAATTATGTGCATTAATAATAAAAGTAAATTGATTTTCTACTATGTGCTACTACTTAGTATTACCCCATATTCATAAATGCTTAACACACATAGTTGTTGATGGTTTATTTAATACTTTAGTTAGATTTCCTAAAAATATTACCATATTGTATTGTACAATAATATGTATGTATGAGAACTCTTGTGTAAACGGAGTGCAAAATTTGTAAATTGGAATGTTCTAAGAAAATATAATTTTAAAATCAGTCTTATAAAACCTTGTGCAAACTCGTTAAAATGAGTACCCTTATTATTATTTAATAATACTCCTATTTGTGATAATTGCGTGCCAATGTAATTAATTTTCTTTAATAAATTATTATTTATGGAAAAATAAACAAGTAGACAGAAAAAAATTTGAAATAAAAAGAAATAATAACAATTAAACAATAACAATAATAATATTGACCATGATAAGAGTAATGATCCCCAATAATAAATAATAATAAAGTAATCAACACCATGGATGGGGCATCATAAACATTTCATAATTGCACATTGAATGACTATTGGCTGGCCCAGAAGAGTGATGAGAAAATAACAGCAAAAAAAGGTGGAATGTATAATACTTCAAATGACAGTTGGAAAATTAATGACATTTCAATGGTTGCAACTTGTAAAGACAAAAATCGATAGTATAACATGTTCCGTATATTTGTTGCAAGTGAAGCAAATAAACGAGAGGAACAAGTCAATGACTACTATTCAAAATGATGGTCAACAAGATAAAAGTTGAAACAAAGATAAATGACTTGATATATTTGTTGTCAGTTCTTTTTCTTTTAACATGATGCTGCTGATTAT